TAACTTTTAATGATCAAACTAAAATAACTGACCGTAGATGATTAAATTATTAAACAGCCATATAAAATAACCAACAACTTACATTTACATATTCTAATATAGAAATCTTAGAACAAAATAGATGGACAACCCAAATATAGATCCTTCTTAAACAATCTTCGTTTTCTATGAATCCATTATCCAGGTATAGATGTAGTCCTGTCACCATCAGTCAAATAAACATATGATATGAAAGCAATTTTAAATAATAGAACTGAAGCATAACTTGCATATAGTCAACAATCTGATAAGACTCTTGAAAGGAAGAATCGACTAAACCACTTTTTCGTCATTCAAAATATATCTTTATATTAATAGACCTAAAGAAGGTACAAATGCTTAACAGTTTAGCACCATACTAAGCATAATTCAAGAGACTTAGGCTAGGGTACACTATACCGGTGATCCTACCGATCCACTTCAGTATATTGACAAAGCGTGCTGCCGTAGAAGAAGCCTAGATGTTTAAAAACCATCTGAACCTTTTCGTGAACCTGAAATGTGCTTTAGAGTGGGATTCTAGAGGTGACCAAGATTTCCAAAAAAGGAAGCTCCTACAATGTTAAATAAGCGCTGCGTCTGCGCTGTGTTATAATAAAGATGATGTAAGTACTTTCATAGTCCTCTGTACTACTGCGAAAGAAGTGATTAAAAAGAAAAGTCAATCTTCTAGCATGATTCTATAATCGATTGTGACCCTTCAGCAAACTTACCACAATGTTGATATCTTTACGGTTTGTCTTAATGAAATGACTAGATTGTTTGTAAATAAAACACGACCAACCTACTAAGAGATGCCTACGTTGAGTATTTCCACTTTTTGTAAATTGCTCAGCACAGAAAAAATTCAACAGCTGTTAGTATACTATCAGTGTTTGCCCAGATTATTTAGATGCTTCAAGTGATAACCTAAAGCACCCTATCCGGATAGCTCGCCTGCCTTGCAGTTGCCAAAAGTAATCCTTTGATTGGGAAGTCAGAACAGAAAAATGTTCAACTCCCTCCGTATCTCGTTTAAAGATGTGTAGCAATCAAAAACTGTCCTGGATGTAAAATGAACTGAATTCAAGGACCTTAAAGCAATTTGACTTCCTGCTCGTATGTATTTATACGTATTTCTAATAAATGTAATATCCAATTCCAGACAAGCTATAACTTCCATAATAGCGATCACGTGCAATGATCAGGAAATCTATTATAAATAAATTTAGAGGGACTTAATCACCTTAAAACATTTTATTAGCTCTATGATATTTATAGCTCTATTAATAATCTAAAAGTTTTTGGAGAGTATAAACGAGTTATAGCTTTCCAAACAACAATAATTTTAGTTTAAAAGCTGAATACCGTCAACTCCTTATTACTACCTACTCCATTGTCTATTCCTTATCCGTGAAAGCACATATTAAGACTTCGTCTAATGGAAATATTTCTTACCAAATTACTTCCTGAGTTTTATAAAAATTTAGAGGAATTCAATCCAACCTTTCGTCCATCAACCTTTCTTCAAATTTGTCGGCAGTTTTAAGTTTGTTGCTTAAGTCTTCTGTACTTTAAAAAATTTTCGAGTTCAACAAAACTCTTATAAACAATTAATAAAAAAAAATTAAGGAATTTATATGAAGTCAAGCCGACATTCTTTTTTAATTTATTCTATTTTAAAGAATTCTTTCTAAGAATTTCTTTCGAAATTTTAATTAAATAAATTAAGTTTTCAAACTTTTTTCCCATCAAACAATTTTAAAAAAATGTGAACAACAATTGAATTGTTAAAGTGAGTAGGTAAATAAAACTATTTAAAACTGTTTAATAAAGAACTCATAAAAATTAAAATAAATAAATACGAGAAAAAGTAACACTACTTTGTTAGAAATTTAAATTTTCTCAAAATTAAATCTCTAATCTCTCGGACCATTTCTATTTAATGATCTATAAAAACCAGTACAAAATCAACCCAAAAACGAGAAGAGGAACGAGCGAACGTTGACAGCAAATACAAAAACAAATACAAATCAAAAAACCAACATGAAACATCAAAGTGACAACGGCCTTTAGAGTTAAAACTTATGGCTGAGGAACCGCAACAACAACAACAACAACAGCAGCAACAAACACAGCGATAATAGCAATTGTAATAACAATAAAAGAAATGCGATAACAAAATTAAAATAGACGTTAACAATTTGAATAAACACATTTTTTATAATTTTTTCTTACTTTAATTTAAAATGAAAACGCGAAACCACAAGAAAACCCTAATACAAACAAAAACATAAACTTACAACAAAAATTAAGTCAAAATCAAAGCCAAAGGCAAAAGACCATTAAATTTAGTTTCAAAGAAAACCATTAAAATCACTTTTATCTAAAATCAGAAAATCACAACGAAAACAACAAAAACAACAACTATAACAAGAAAAACACAAATAAAATTTCAAGAAAAGCGAAAAGTAAACATTTGCCAAGAAATTAGACCCAAAACAAATGTAGAAATAAATTAAAAAATCAAAGCAAAACAGCTATGGGAGAATAACTATTACAAAAACATTAACAATTACAACAATATTAACAATTACAACAATATTAACAGTTACAACAACATTAACAATTATAACCAAAAAGCAGCCACAATAATACTAACAACAACAACTATTCAATTAAATGTGTACAAACTATAAGCAAATCAATAAGCGATTCTTAAAAAAAACCGGTTACTTTTAACAGTAACTAATAAGTTCTGTTAAGATTAACAGCACTTAAATGCTACCACTGCTAACAACATAAATGGTATTGTGCTGCCAACGATAACGTCGCAGTTGCTAAGGCTGCTGCTCATGCGCAACTGCGCTTACAAACTGCAAACAAACAAATTGCATTTGCTACTTCTTGTACGACACGACGACGCATAATAATGAAAACGATAGCGATGACAATTCTACGCGTCAACGTCTGCCACTCCACGCTTCATCGATTGTTGGCTGGTTTCATTGTTGTTGTCGCCATCGCCATCGTCATCGTCAACATCACCATCAACATCGTCGTCGTAGTCGTTGTCGTAGTCGTTGTGGCTGTGGCTGTCGTTGCCGTTGCCGTAGTCGTTTTTATCGTTACCGAAGTCGTTCTTTTATTTTTGTTAGCTTTTTGTTGCTATTACTGCTTTCGTTTACTTTTTACTTTACTTTTTGTTGTTGTTGTTATTGTTTTCTTTTTTTTTTGTATTCGTAGCTCTTTTTACTTTTATATAGATTTGTTTTTTCAACTTGTTTCTTTGTCGTGTCTTCTGCTGTCTTTACTTTTTTTTATTTCTGCACTCACTACTCATAGCAGTCTTGTTAATTCTTTAGCCATAAGCAGAGTCAGTCAGTTCTGCGCAATCTTCACTCAGAATCCATTTCATTACAGTGACGTTCGTTGCGGTTGCGGTAACTACAAAATTTCTTACGGATTATTACGTGTTTTTTTTTCCGAAACAATAAATAAATAAATAAAAAATTACCCGTGGAAATAATTAATTTTAAACCGTTGCTTCGATTCGTAATGCTGTGTGCTTTTGTTTAATTAATTAAAGTATTAATAATAAGAAGTAAATGAAAAATTATCGTTTTTTCCGTGTAAAATGTTGTGAATAAGTTTTTTATTTAAAGGAAAGCAAAACAAAAAAAAAATAAAATTACAGTTAGATTCTGTAAAGAAATGCATATTTCATAATAAAATCTTTCGTAATACAATGAAAGTGCTGTAAATTATAACATTAGTCATTCTGTAAACAAAAGAAAGTCTTCTCGCTGCCATGCAAAATGTTATGAAATTCTTATAAGAAAAGCAAGCAAAGTGTAGGAGTTGTTAATTATCATTTACGATTGGAAGTGTTCAAATTGAGTTTTTATTACATGAGAAAGTGCAAAGTTATTTGATGTTAATTACGCATTCGTTGAAGAAAAATAATACTCGTATAATTAATAAAAAAGTAAGTGAAAAATTAATTTCTATTGAAAGAAATATCTTTGTAAATGCAACTAAAGGAACTATCTAAACACTGTTAAAAATTGATTAACTTCAAAATTAACAATAAAGAGGAATGTTGAGTTGTGGAAAATTTAAAAAATAATAATCATAATCATAAAGTGTAATTATAATTTAAAGCCCTTACAAATAGTAAAAAACTAATCTATATTTCTTGAGAAATCGTGGTTTGAGAATTATCAACAACTATTTATGTGGAGACCTTATAAAATTCTCAAAGACAAATCAGTTCTAATCGAGCGGATATAACTGGAATCATAAAAGCATATATCGTAGAAACCCTATCTCAATGCTAAATCATTAGAACGAATCGCATCTTAAAAAAAAGTAGCTTTAGGAAAAGCGAATCCTTCCTTAAGTCTAACTCTAAAACATTGATTTATGAGTACATGTTGCTAAATTTATGTGATAAAAATAATACCACTTAAATAGCAGCCAAATATTGGACTTGTATTAATTTATGGAAATGAATTCTCGTAAATCCATTTAATTGCTGTCTTCGATTCCTTTAGTCATCTTTGGATTATTGATGTATTGATTATTGATGTTGAAAAAAATATTTTCCTTAACCATTTGATTTTGCTAAACCAAAAGTAAGAATCCATCGAATTTAGATAAGACTAAGCAATAACTTCGAGTGTTGTGTAACCCAAATTTTTTGTAGAATACTTGTTCACGAAGCTTATAAGGAATACACAAATTAGTCAGTGAGATGGGTGGAACTCTGCAAAAACCCCTCAACTATCAAAGAGTAACTTGGAAAAGACTCAACATCATAGTCAAATATATGTTAAAACAGTTGATATTAAAATTTAAGAGTTCTTTATATTCAAATCAAATGTAATATTTTGACACCCTATTATCTTCAAAATCTTTAAGAGCAAACACAAAAACGAATTTTTGTGCATTTAAAAAAATATCGATATAATTTATTGCAGTTATTAAGTACATTGAAAATATAGACAATGTATAAGAATAACCGTCATACAGTGAAACTCTCGACAGCCACAGTCTGAAACTTTTACCCACTGAAACCACCTCTAAGGAATGAGACCACATCCACGACTGACTCGAAAGGCAGTGGGGAAAATTTTATTCTAGCAATTTCCAGATAAGGAAACTTATCTCTAGTTGAGATAAAGAGACTAACTACCTAGAAGTCTAGGTTTATTTAAACCAGAAAGCAAGATCGAAGTGTAGAAGAAAACGATATAGGTTGACGCGGTGTGGGTTAGTTGTACAATCTGTAACTTTAAGGTCACGGAAGCCACAATTATAGAAAGGGTAAGGGAACTGACCCCGTGATCAATATAGATGTTACACACATATAAATATATTATATATACATATAACTCTAAATAAAAAGTTTATACTTTTCAATAGTTGAATAACTGAATTTTGCTTGACCGGAACACAATGTTGGTACGATAGCAACATATAATAAATATTATAATAATGATGGTAACACATAAATATAGTGTTAGCACTTGATCCTTTTATTCCATATATATTCTCCAATTTTGTTTAAAAGGTGTGATCAGACTTTTGAGATGATTTCTATTGGTTTAATGCTTCTTAGCATTTATTTATATATAAAAGATCTAAACGACCTATTACTATTCGAGTTATTTTTTTTTGTCACGTAATCAACAACTTTACATATTTACAAATCTAAAATTCTTCAGAATTTTCAACAATCCAATTGACATCGTAAAGAATGCCAATGTATCTCATAAAATATTGAACTAATTTTTAGTACTTAACTTAAATAAACAAATTAAATTATAATTGATATTAATTTTAATTAATTTCTAACAAAACTAGATACCTTATTGAATGTAAAACAATTCATTCCTAAACTCTTATTTAAAATAATATTATCACATTAACTTTTAGAAATGATTAATTCTTAATGAATCGAGAAAAATATAAACTTATAGTACACTAATTGGCTAATAAGCATTGATACATAAATTTCAACTAAATTAAATCATTTCAACTAAATGACTTAAAGGTTTTTACAATCCTCATTTATAAGTAATTTATTTTTAAATAAAATTAAATCGAATTAATTTAATAAAATGTATTGGTAAAATTTTTTTTATTTTTATTTTAAAGAAGTTTTCATTGAGTTTGAAGAACTCAATAAATCTATCAATGACCTATTAATCCAATATTTATTCATTTAAACGAAGTTATGATATAACCCAAAATATAGATATATTTACTATATATATAACATATATTGGTGCTTACTTCATATTAAAACCAATTCAACCAATTTCGTTAAGAAAACAAAATTCAAACTCAATATTTGGGTCAATATACCATTTGAATCGCTTAAGAAATCATAATTTCCCAACTGTCAAAATTAGCAACCCAACCTAAAAACTGTCTTTCTATTACCATATAAGGATTTCCTTTCGACAGAATATCAAGTTAAAACCACTTAAGACTCCGTTCCGTCGCTTCTTTTAGGTATATCAAAGTCGATGTCGCTACCAAGCGACAACAGCATATGGCAGAGTAATTATTATGCTAGTGGAGTCCACAGACCAAGAATATGAAGCAATTTTGAATTATAGCTGTCAGCCGAAATCAAGAAGACTATTAAATGTGTAAAGAACTGAAAACGATTTCTTTGTAGATTGTATATTATTTATATTGTAATTTATTTTATTTTTATTGCCTGCTAACAACATTTAAAGAAAATCACACCGAAGCGAATTGCGTTCGTTTCCCACATGCCAAAACAGTGGCCGAAATGCCTCTCCGACTGGTAGGCAGGCAGAGGGCATTAAGTATTTAAATTATAAGCACCATTAAGTACCCAATGAACTTTTAGATAGAATATCATTTCTGTGTCTTCTTTGCGTAATTATTAAATATGTTATCGCAGCCTAACCTCAATAGCATTTTTTCCAAACCTCATCCGTTGCAATGCATTTTCAGTTCGATTTCCTGTTTGCGTTCTAGGAACCCTTTTTGGTATGCAAAACATGATTAATAAAAAATTCTGTAATATTTTTCCCCTGATTATTTTCAGTTTTTATTTTTAATAAAAAGTCGTAAAATCTACAATTTATTCAAAGGTTGCTGGCGACGCATTTTTGTGCGGTGATTAGTAAGCAAATCATAATCGTTTTCGATTCCTAACCAAACGATTTGATAGCGTCACATGGGTTAAAGCGTTTTGACCGTTTATACGCTTGCGCCGTGGTTTCGCATTTTAATTAAAATAAATTTTTCGGTTTTTTACTATTCATGGAATTGTGTTTATATCGACGAAGTCCGATTTGCTGACATGCCGCTGCAAAATTCATATAGTCTTTTTCTCTCTCTTCCATAACTTGTTAATCCCATTCCATATTGATTTGTCCAATTGCTGTCCAATTTGTTTGAACAAAAGCGTTTGCTATTCCGAGTGTTTGCTGCCACATTAAAACGCTTCAGTTGAGGTTTGTTTCAATTTAGAATTCTGATTTTAATCTTCAAATGTTGTTCTCAAAGATAATTTTTTTATATATTATTTTTTTTCTATTTTTTTTTCTATTTTTAACGAATTCTCACATATTTCATCACAATATTTTTGAGTTCGTTTTCAAACTCATTCCAAAGCTACAGATTTAATCGGACTTAATACGTAATTTTTATTATTGGTCATCAAAATAGAAACACGTTAAACGAAATAGTGACGATATATATTTTGTTTATATATAGAACAATATAATTCGAACATAGAAATTCAAAATTCACATAAATTTTTAAAAGTCAAAATTATTTGAACCTTTTTTTTAACGAGACTTAATCAGAATATGAGAAAAAAATAATAAAATAATTTTGTTAAAAGGTATATTTATTTATAACGTTTTGATATAAAAATTTTAAATTAAAATAGTTATAAAATATTGTTTATGATTTGCTTATAGCAGGCAATTTCTATATATGATAAATATATCGTATACATATATATGTCCGAAAAACGTCGTATCACTCTAAAGACGACACCAGTACTTAACGTACTTGTACTAATAAAAATCAAAATAATTTATTAGATTGATAGATTTTTTAAAAGTCAATCTTTTACTATAGCATAACTATTTATTCATATATAACAGATTGTTTTATTTTAAATTAAAATATCTACATACAAGAAATAATAATATATCAAAACTATGAATTCAATTCACCTATTCAAAAAATTGACTATTAATATGTTGTTACTAAAGTGGACGTTCAATATAACAATTTTAAAATTTTGATAAATATCCAATTTGACGGATGTTAAAAAGCTACCACTGACTTTTTGAACAGTGGGTTTACTCTTCAAAGGAACGAATTTACTAAAAAATATTTTTTCTTCGCCGTGTTTTCACAACTCACCAAATTTTTGTAATATAATTATGTATTGTATTATTAAGAGTGGTAATTATCTCCTAAATCCACCACCACATCCACAGCCTATATATGCCATTAATTCAAGTCTATATTTCGTTATATAGAACAGTTAATATTTCAAAGGATACTACAGGAGAAAAAAAAACAATATGGTAGGAGAACACTTGCTAAGAACGTATCTAAAACGCCCTTCAGAAAGACTATAGAACATTCAGGACTACTATGTTACAGAAATTGATTTACGTTTTACTAAATTCATGATTTTACAAGCCCCACAGAAGAAAGTATATATTAATAATAAATATAGAGTATTAAGTATCAAATGAATTTAAATTTTTTAAAGAATTATAACATAATAAACAATCTGCTGAAAACTATACTGTCTGAGTTTAGTAAATATATTTTTTTTGATTTAACTAATTAATCAATTTATCAAATAGATTGGTAAAGAAATATTTCATTGAATTGGATGGCTACTGTAGTGTATCTAGACTTTTAATCGCTCTCTAATATATGAGTTAATGGAACTATAATACCTTTTTTAAA